TAGGTCCCTCCCCCCACCCCACCCCCCACAGATGAATGCAACATTCTAAATGCAGTGAAAATAATGTTTTGGGGTGTCTTAAATTTCCAGTAAGACAAAACATATGCATAATCTCTTTCTTTGAAAGACAGAGAGCTCCTCAAATTCTGTATTACTGATGCCAACAAGTTTAAAAGCAAAAAACAATATATACGACTCTAGGTGGAAAAATATGCTTTTGTCACTTCACATAGTTGCATTTTATAAAATCATCATACTTGCATATTAAAAGACAATTGAGTTCAATTAMATTCATTTACATAGACTTTTGTGTTTTTCACATAAATTTACTTCATCAACTCATCGTTTTTAAACTGTGTTCATGAATTGCATCATATTCCATTTAGAATGAAAACTGAAAAAGATAAGAGGTTTTCACTTTGGTTATACAAACAGGTCAAATAAATATCTTGTGTTTCCATAAACATTTGAAAAAATCTTTACTGAATGTTTTTGYACCTGAATTAGTTACGGTGCGTAGCAGTTTCCATCATTTCCTTTATTTTTATTGTCCCAGCTCAACTTAATGGCATATTACAACTAGCTGTCAATGCACATTACCATGCTCTGTACAATAAACGTGCATAAAACAGCACAATTTGATGTGTTTGCAAAACAACAGAGGAGTCGCTTTAAGAAAGGCAGATGTGATACACAAGTGATTGCCAAGATTATGTGAGTTATAATAATTTGATACTAAAATATTAAAACTTAAAGATCATTATTTTCCTGAATCAAATTAAGGAATCAGTTATTTTCTCCATTACAAAAATCAAAACAGCCCTCTCTTTGCAGTCAGACTGAAAAGTCACAGCATTTATGACAGGAATTTATCATCCAASGAAACTAACATGCCATTGTTAGGCTTTTAAAAGAAATCATTAAATATCAGCAGATGCTGTGGAAATGATACATAATTATCTGACCTGCAAAATGTCAAAGAGGAAAGAAACAAGTAAAAGAAACAAGCATGCTCATCAATTGGTGAGCTCATATCTCCTCACTCCAAATAACTTCTGACGTCCACATCCCATTGATAAATGTTATCTTTGACAGGATCCCAACTTGTCTCATCTACTAATTATGATTGACAAGTAAAAATATCCAAATGTTTAAAGCTGAGTGTTGTTATACAGTGGTTTTTCCAGGTCTCCCTTGAAGCTGGATGTAGATCACGGTTGAAGACAGATCCATTCAGACCCCCTGTCAGCTTGGCTGACTGGACAAACAAACAGCCAGTGTGTCAAAATTCCCAACTGCAAAGGGCTTCTAAGAGCACAGTTTACACTTTCTAGCCTGGTGGTCTGGCTTTTTGAGCAATGGTTATTGTCATATATACATGCAGGCACACACGCACTGACAAGCCTTGCTGCTAAAGGCTCATGCAAGACCCCAAGGACTGTGAAAGCAAAGGAAGGATGATGTAACACCTCCTTGCTTTCATTGTGTTTATCAAAGAGATGACCTTACATGACTGAGGCCACAAGGTTAGAAATGTTTTCTACCAAAGGCTGATTTGTAAGTCTTGTAATGTTAAAATCTTGGGTATGTATTACAAGGATGAGCGTGATCATGCTTAACCTCTTTGTCTTGCACAGAAACGCAGCTGCATCAACACCCATCACGCAACACACATACTCTCATGTCAGCGTATGCTTTATCCAGGCATAAAAATGGAGTGTCTGTTAGAGTGCTGAACAAAAAGGGAAGGTTCTGAACTCAGGAGAAACCTGAGCAAGGAACTAAAAAGAAAAAGAACGAAGAAGGGGGAAGGAGAAAGAGCCGGGTAGATATGAGGGGAGCCCGAGGGGTCAGATGTGAAAGAAAGTAGAGTGAGACATCTGGAAAAGAGAAAGAGTCCATGGGATGAGGAGGAAATTACAGCTGCCCAACTATGATTCATTGGGGAAAATTCTCTTCTGCATCTCCCTCTTCACCCTTTGTCCTCCCACCTCGATACCTAACCCTCTAAACTTTCTCTGTCTTGCTCTCTGCTTTTGGTGATTGATTGCCAAGAGAAAAAAAACACATTATAAACATTTGTTATTTCACATCCTGTGTACTTTCAAAGGCAAAAAAATAAGTTATGCACTGATACTTTCCATTTTGTGTGTCCAGGGATCTTAGTATGAACAACATCAGTGAGATCCAGCCCAGAGCCTTCCACCGACTGCACCTGTTATCAGAACTGTGAGTACAAAATCATTCATCCCACACTTAGGTTTATGAACCTCCCTATTGTCACAATTTACGCAAAAACAGCCTTTCCGGACCTGCTCATACACACAGACCTCAGAGATGAGGTTGCTGGTTCTGGCCTGCCTCTGATCTCCCCCACCAAGGTTATTGCCTACAGCAATAAGTTAGTAGATCCCGGGATGGCTGTACAAAAGCAGAACAAAAGGGAACCTGATAGTCACTCGGAGAGTGAATATATGGTCCTAAAGTATTTGCTGGGTAGGTCATGTGTTCTGCATCGAAGTTGCTGCTTTCTTTCCCCCGTTGACTTTGTTTCAGCTGGACAGCTCAGCAGGAGCAACACACTTATAGACACAAGAATTTGCCAAAGCAAAATGCTTAATGAAATACAAGAGCAAAACAGTTTCCACAAGAAAATATTCATCCTTTGTGTGCCCAAATTTGTTTTAGTGGTAGTGACAAGGGTAGCAATCTACAATCAACAATTCCAGACATAATTATTTGTCAGGATGATTTCAGAGACCTTTAAAACAATGATAATGTTGTMTTTTTAAATGTTTAGTTGGCCTTCAGTTTCATTTTTCTGATGTGTAAACAGAAAAAAAGATTCAACATCTGGAGTAAAACATCATCCCAGTAGTTCTTTCTTCAATTAAAGCACATCTCCAATTTTGCAACATTTTGGAGGCTGTTGTACGCTGTAAAGCAAGAAAAGTCTGCACACATACTGTTTCAACAATTGTCTGTGGTATAAGTGGTATGTCTTTGAAATGTGTACAAGTAAAAATGATACGTTAAATTCATAGTTAGATTTATGTCTAAAAATGTACTTCTTGAAAGTCCTTTTCTAAAATTCTGTCTGTGTAGCAGTTTTGTTTTCTTAGCAGTGATGGCTATGGTTTAGGAGGACTGCAGTGAGTATAGCTTKTCTCAAACACTCATTTAAACAGAAGCATTGCTATGGTATTGTAACAATTTATGGCCAACAGTTGAGTATATTCTCACCTTTACTCTCATAACTTTGCACCCTTTGGGACCCCAAAGCACTTCTAACTACTGAAGCTATTACAACTCATATTACTTGTGATTACTACTGTGACAACTGCCGACCAAACTATTTAGACTTCCATGACTATTTACTGAGCTGCAAGTTTGACTAACTTATGGTATGAGTAATATGTTGACACAACTACTACCAGAATAACTTAATTTAAAACTGCTACAATGACAACTGGTTGGAAAAAAAAATAAGAAGACTTTGTCCTTCAAATTCTCAAAAGTTTATTTAACCAATGGCCAATGCTCAAATGGTTGTGGATGTGGTGAGTTGGCTAGCTTTATAAGTTGTTTTCATTTAGTTACTTACAAGAGTACCATTTTGGCACAATATGGACACAGTAAGAACTGTTCTGACTTCTTTACTGTGTGCTGAACAGAAACTATTTGGTTGGCTCTTTACAAAGAAGCAAGCAATTTCATTCTCACAGGGCTGATGAAAGACATGAATTCACAAAMCTTTTGAACACAATCCACAGCAACTTTGCCAATATTTGATCTGACCATTCAGCAGAATTCARCTAAGTCTCCGTTTTATAAAAGCTGCCTGCAAACGTGCCCCGAGGGTSTGAATGTGTGTATGTCAGTCTCACATGATTATTTTTCCCCTGAATCCTACCAATGTGTGTGTGTGTATGTGTGTGTCTGTCTGTCTGATTTTTGTGTTTGAACAGTCCACTGTTTTCTTTACTAATTCTTGCAGCTGCAGYCTGTGAGGCATGAGCTAATGATGATGAAGGTAAAAAGGCTGGCTGGTTAAGTGCTCAGTTGACTCTGAGTCCCAGTCAAACTGTGTTTGACCAGAAGGCTGATGCTGAGCAAAGAAAAATGGCCTTATTTTAGTATTAGAATATTGAGATCAAGACTTTGATTTACTGTAGTTTACAAAATAGCAGTTATGAACTTCTACTGTTGCTGGGGGTGTAATAAWAGAAACCACACAGTACAGAGTAAAGCTGAACAGTAAGGTTGCACTGGAGTTTTGGATGAAGCTACACCTGCATTGCTTGTCCACAGACAATCCTCCCAATGTTTTACAGCCCTATTGATCTTTCTGTGTCTCTGCTGCACTGAGGTTCTGACACTTTATGGAGACATTCTGTTGCTTTGTACTTCTTCCAAGAAGGATGTCTATGCCCTAAAGCCAAGTTTTGTTGCTGGCTAACCATTTCTGGAGATGTGCTGGGATGATGATGAAGTTCCAAGGCTTGGAAAAATGCATTTTTTACGTCCACTTCTGTCTAGATGGTTTAGTGAGATGGAGCATAGTGAATTAAGGTAAACAGATTATAATTGCAACAACTTATAGTGTGTAGAAAAAAACAATCTATGGATCTAAGCCTGAACATGGTAGGTTTGAGAGACAGCTTTTGATGTGGGACTTGTGCACTGGTTGGTAGCACAAGGAGAGGCAAGGTCCAGGCGTGTTGTGACTGGTAGAGTGATAAACTGTTTGATGTTGGGTTCTGAATTCCCTGCTTGCCCTCTCTAACTCTGTCTTCCCATCCATTTGATTCATATAGCACACCCCACCTCCCATATTCATTTAACTGCAGGCTATTGCAAGCCAAAATCTTTTCCTTTGATAGTTTTCTTTTATTATTCTCCTTTTGGCTACCTTCAAATTCTTATGAACCAATCAAACCAATCAAATCAAATGTGCTTGTGGCAAAAACTTTCATCATTTTTACCCAACGGCAAGTAGACAAAATACAATCTTGAGAGCTATGAAGTATCCCTTCAGGACACTGCTCTTAAACCTAAATGATATTCATCTTTTTACTGAGTTCTCACCTTTATATTATAGGGACACCTAAWCCTTAGGAACCCAAGCTAAGGCAATTAAAATAACTTGCAAAGCAGACATCAGATATCATAAAAAGTGCCTTTGATTTAATGTATTATTAACATTGAATAGAAGTTGTCATCATTACCCATCCTTTTCTTTTTCTCTAATTCTTTATCTTTTGATTGCATTCAATTGATCTCAGAAACCTCTCATTAAGTCCTCATTTAACACTTTGATCAGTGAGCTACTTCAGTTTAAACACAGAACTGTGCAACACCGTCAGCATAATAATTGTGAACCGAAAGGTAGTCTGTGTGTCTGTRGTTTAATGAAAGGGCAGCAATGCCCACCCCACAAACTCAGAATTGTTACTTATTTACCTGACATTTCAAAGACCTGCCCTCCATTCAGATGTTCTACTCTAATATCAAAGATGCGCAATTCTGGTCAAATTGAAACTTGAAAGTTGATAGATGTGGTGAAACTGGCCCTAAGAAGCTCTTCCTGTAAACCACTTAAAGATGACAGCGTTTCCAGTCTATGGTCTTTATCAAAATCCCTAGCTCCTCCGTAGATCATGTTTCACTTTTTCTTCTGTCTCTTCACATAATCGTCTGCTTTGGTCGAGTCTCTCATACTTATTATCTGTAGCCATCAATCAACTTCTTCCGGTAATTATAGATCTGAAAAGAGACCATTTAAAGTAGCTTGAAAGGTGAAGCTATCCAACGTTGGCTTTATCAATCACATGCAACACTGCATTAGTTCAATGCATATGCATAATGAATGTGTGTAAAAAACAAAAACAAATAGTGATGGCTCCCACTTTTCTGCTTAGTTTTAAAACAGCCAGCCAGCCAGCCAGCCAGCCAACCTTGTGAAAGTTTTCCAGCAATCATGCATACCACATGAAGTTCAAATGTAAGTGGAAAGAGGTGGAGGCCAGTGCTACCCTGCTTTTCTTCTTCGCATTGATAAGATCGTCTGCAGATATGCCAGCAGAATGACGTAGTCGAGGATTAGGAGGTTGTAATATTGGCTGCCTTGGAGCCCCAGGTGCACCTCACAGCTGGAGCTATCAGGTCAATTAGAAATTCTCCTACAAAAGCTGCCAACATCATCATTTTTCAGCACTTCTGCTGCTCTCTCCCAAACACACATAGCCACTCACTGAAAACAGACGCTACCCCAGTCTGTATTTCACGCCCGCAATTTTAGAGGTTAACGGTAGGTTAAGTGGCTGACCCTGAGACTGGACTGAGGGGTTAAACACCTCGCCATTAAGATGTCTATTGATGGACCACCTCTATCAAAGGTCACACATGTGCAAGCACTAACAGAACACATGTGTACGACGTGTCCTCTCGCAGATAAGACCTGTTTATCCTCTCCGACTCCTTTCATCATCAACTCCTATCACCCGCCAAGGCCCTGCTGCACCTCTATCACTGCACGAGATTGAATCCAAAAAATATGTTGTTCTTTATCCTTGTTCTCTAACTCTTTAATCTGTCAGTTTGTTTATTATTCTGAGGCAATGGGACATGGCGATACATCAGATAATCAGCAGTTGGTATGCTTCAGTAAAGTCCTCACTGATTAGCACTGATAGCGGGGTGGTCTCACCTTTGTAACAAGCAGCACCACTGCCATTTTTCACCCACACATTTGAACTACTCTGGCCTCTGTTCTTTCACCTCTGAATCATTTCAGTAGGACTAAATTATGTTGAGGATGACTTTTTTTGTGTGTGTGCGTTACTTTTTTATGCAGAGCGGGGGCCAAGAACAATCCCCAAATCAAATTAAAAGAAAAAACATTTGGAGCCAAGGTTTGACAAGAGCAAGGCGCCTTTCATTAGAATGAGATTGATGTGGAACGACTAGGAGGCTTAGTGTGGAACATTCACACATACATACAATCACTCACACACACAGACATGCACGAAGACACACGCTGATATCATGGAAAGTGTTGGTCGAGGAAGACTAGTGTTCTGTTGATTTTTGTCAAAAACATCAGATTTTTTTGTCGCTTATGAATATTCATCTTCATTTTTGACACAACTGTCTAACAAATGAAGTCGTCTACAAAATGAAAAGATGACTCAGAGAAAACAAAACAGATTTCCAGTCAAATGCAGTTTTGGCTTCAGTCATTCAGCTATGAAAAAATGGGTCTAGGTTGGCAGAGGAATGCACACTTATACACATCTTGCTTTTTGAAATATAAATTTTGTGTTAATAAACCTAAAAGTTAACAAAAACAGTTTGTGTTTTTTTTATTCAGAGTTTCTGCAACTATTTATTGTGTTTGAATGGGATCAATTTAAAGTATGGCACTCAAGTGTGTGTATTTTGTTATTGTGGGCTTCAAAATATGCAAAAACTGTTTCCTTTTAAAACGTCCCTCTTTAAAATGTCCCTGTTGACCATCTTACATTGCAAAAACTGAAAATGGTAGTAAAACAGTAATATTTTAATAGTCTTTGGGAGAAACTAATGAGTACTTTATGAATGAAAATCCAAACAAAAAAACAAATGTGTTTTTATTTTTAAATTCGATTAAAGAAAAAATAATAATTAGAAGGATAAGCTGTCTCTAATTTTTGTAAAATCTATACTTAGACAGTTTAAGGTCCAATTAATGTCAGTTCTTCTAAGTTTTGGCTGCAGTTTAGGCATGAATTAACAGCACCACAATAGCTGGATAGCAATCAGTTCAGACCATGTTGTATCCCAGCATGCTGATGTGCATCTTTGTTTTGATAAATATGAACTCTATGAGAATTCAAGACAGAGCTGGGTGTGAGTTCTGGCAGGCATGGGTGGGGTTGTGTGGTTAGCCACTGCACAGTAATATGAATGAGACTTGTTGACATTAATATCAGATGTCAAATTGAGTTTTTCATCCACTTACTGCCTAGATTACAACATCTTGAAAAGGCAGATTGTAATCAGTATTATTATTTCAGTATCCAGACATGAATGATGCAACTTGGGCAAATGAGATCTGTGAAGCGTAAAGCTGGAATGTCACCTGTAAAGAAATGGTTTGAGTTGGAGGAGGGTGCCAATGACTAACCTTTAATGTATGTGTCTCTGTGTGTGTGTTTAATAAAAGTGGGTGGTCTTGTGCTGTGAAAACCAAATCTGTGTTTAAACTTTGTTTCCAGCTTGTGACCTTGAGAGTTACTCTGTTGGACTGAATGTTATTTATTTGGACATCTTATACACATTCACAAATGACCATTAGGTGCTGTGTCTGATAAACAAACTGATTGGATTGCTTGTATGAATGTGTGTGGTTTCTCTCCCGTGATGTCCTCAAGGCCCCTTTGGATTGGGCCTAATTTCACCTCAAGGAAATGAAAATAGGCATGCAGATTTACCACACATGTTTATGTGCACAAACATTATATACATGCTCATATCAGCATACACATGCATGCATGTACTTTTGCACACTGCACTTACTGACCTGCTCTCGGTCTTTATTCACTCATCAAAGCTCCCAGGATCTGTAAGGTTTTAGGGTGCGTTCAGGGCCAATAGCAACCACACTGAAGGGAGTTGAATATGGTTATTTGCATACTGCCCCAACAGTAACCCCACAGCAGTAACTCTCAGATGAAGTCATGTCATAGCCTAATCCAAATCCCCCCCACCCCCAAAAGAAAAAAAAGTTCAAAACGTAAATGGTAAAAGTGCTCCATTGGGTCTTATAGATTTTTTTTGTCAGAATTATTATATTTCATGTTTCTTTTTTCATATTTCATTTTTTTCATAAATATTAAAATGTTTTTTCTTCCAGGCGCATCTCAGGGAATCAACTGAGGTATATCTCAGGTCAAGCTCTCCAAGGTCTACACAACCTCAAAGTCCTGTAAGTGACCTCCTCCTGCCTTTGACCATTGCTAAAGTGGATTTAGTTTTATCCAGTTCAAAACCTCCATAGATTTTTAAACTCTGGCCTTCACAGAGTTGTCCTCCCATCTCAAATAAAACACACTAGCTATGCATCATTAAGTGCCATTAAACTTTATGAGTTGGAAGAAATCAGCTCTGCTTGCAGCTCCCTCAAGTCTCCAACAAGTTTCATTTGCAAGCACACAGCTTCACAGGTGCAATGAAGGGACCTCCCAGTCACAACACCTACAGAGGCTGAAGCTAGTGTCACTTCAGAACTGCATTTAAGGCCATTCTCTTAACACCCCATTTCTCATTCTATGTTCATAGCCTTATGATCTGAGGCCACCAACTCTGTTTGAGCCAGCCGTGAAGTATTAAATCATGAAAAGAGCAAAGCAGCCGTAAAACGCATAGTACCTTCTGACATGCTGCATCTAATGAGTTGTGGTCATAGTTCTTGTGGGTGCAGGACAAGGGTTTTAAAGAGGTTTTCATAAGCATTGGCACCTAGCCCCTTTTGGGCTCTGGCTGAGAAAAGTTTGAGAGTAAATGCCACAGAACATAAAGTTAGCTAGCAAAATGTGGTTTGAAATCTGAAGGAATCTGGAGGAAAACCAGAACCACAAGTTGATATTTTTAGACCTTGTTTTGTGAAATGCACAGAGACAACAATAGTCATAAATAAATGGCTATTAAATAAAAATAGATAATTGAATAAATATGTCTGTAAACATTCATGCTTCACACAAAAACTCTGTGTAAATTTAATAGGAAGAGGAAGTATTTTAAAAATCAGACAAATGCAGTTTTAATTCATCTTATATATTGTCCTCACAGCTGATGGACTTTACTGAGGACAGTATTTAATGTAGGTCTCACCTTAATAAATACTCAAATAAATGAATGACACATTGCGGTTTAGTCAGTGTTTCCAACATTGAAATGAAAATATACTTAAGGTTATTAGAATCATCATCAAAAGCTCAGATATGCCTCTCATGTTTAAATAGAAGAACCCTTATAGTCATACAGTGACAGGTATCATGGCATTGTCATGCCACAGAAGAACCAGACCAGTTCTGCTGCACAACACAGTGGCATTTGCATCCTCCATGTTCAGTCGACAGATCGAGATAAAAACTTATGGCGCGAGAATGAAAGGGAAAGCAGGAAATAGTGAAAGAAGAAAGAGAAGGCTATTGTTTGCTCCCCACTTCCCCCTCATTTTTGCACCATTCTTTTGAGAATGACATCACCAGCCCACCCAAGGAGGTTCTCTTTCTTTTTTTTTCTTCCCCAGCCTTCATCCTCTGCTTCTCTTCAAGCTTTCACAGGCCTCGTTTCCTCTTGTGTCAGATTTCCCATCACTATGAACTAATTTGTTCTGCTCAATGTGAACTAACACTGATTTAATTGGTTATAGACTGACCTGCAGATGAATCATCTGTTTGTGTGTTTCAGGATGCTACAAAACAACCAGCTGGAGAGACTTCCTGATGATGCTCCGTGGGACCTGCCCAACCTGTTGTCCTTGTGAGTCTCGCTCTCTCTCTCTCGCACACGTACACACACTGTAATCATGCTACTCTACCTCATCCAACAGGGAATTAAACATCCCCTGCCGGCCACCCACGTATCTCAGCTCTGACCGCAGTGCAGGTATAGAATACCGCTGACAAATTACAGACCTTACCCCAATGCTGGCTGCAACAGTTTTGCATTCAGTATGAGAGCTTGACGGTAGAAGTCACAGCACTGATTGTGTCAGTGCTGCTCATGGTAGCATCTGGAAGCCATGAGGGAAACGGCAGACACTGCAGGCCAGAGAGAGCATCTCCAATGAGCTGTGAAACAACCCTATTTTCCATCAATTCCCTCTCTCTTCCTCCTCCGTTCCTCCTCCACCACCCACACTGTTATACCCCTGGCTAGTGAGATTGTTGGGTGGCTTAATTGTCTGATCTGTGAGGTCAGTGTATGTGTGTGCATGTAGAGTTGAATGTAGTTGGACATCCTCATCCCTGCCATCCACTGCCCTTAACTTTGCATACGCCACTTCTCTACTTTCCAAATGAACAATTCTTCATGAATATCATTTCTTTCATCCCACAAATTGCTTGAAATGTAATACAGAGGGATGGGTATGAAACACAAACCCCTCTACCAGCTAGTGTTCTCTGTCTGCCATGATTCAGGTCTGTTTACTTAGAAGCCACAATACTTGCACTCACACTCACACATCTTCACACATGGCAGACATTTCAACTGCATCTGCCCTCGTGTGAATGTGTTTGTCCAAAACAAAAACACAATTTGCTCTCATGATGATCTGCTTTTAGTGTGTGTGAGGTCTATCAATTTTCCTTAGTTTGAGATCACCTAATGCCATGAAAAGGCGCACGCACACACACACACACATACACACATGCACACACTCATAGAATACACACACAGAGCCAATTTAGAGAAACGCACCTTGTCATTATAGTAATGATAAGCTGAGCAGAGAAAGATTAGTGAAAAGGATTTGGAGTGTGAAGCTCGTCGGCGCCTCTCATTGGCATAAAAACACCAGGTAAAAAGAAAGGGAGAGAGAAACAGCAAATGAGTCAGCACACAGATTTTACATTGGTATAAATGTTAAAAGGAGACTTTTATCCAAAGTAAATCGTAAATTAATCTCAGCTAAAAATCCCTTTGTCTGCAGAAACTGATTGGGAAAAATTCTCTCACCCTTTGAAACAAGAGAATTACCACACAGTGTGTGAGTGTAGTTGTTTAGTTTGGTGCCATCACAAGCAAAACAGCAGCAGTGTTCTGGGCTCCAACCCACAGGTTAAGGAACATAATCACCACTGATGAGTTTCACAAGCAGTTTTAAATAAGCAGAAGCCTGTTTTTAGAGATCTGACTTGCTGGCTTTGAAATGTGCTTGTCCTGGTTCCCCAATGTATAAAGCTTTAGCCATCTGGAGAACTGAACCAACACAAAGAGGTCCCAGGATTTCCTGAGTATTTTAAGAGATCTATCTTTCTGTTTCTGCATGTCACTCCTATAATCGTACATCAGACTTTGAAGTGATRGGCAGGAAATAAGTCTGCTTTATTGGCTTCAGTGGAATGTTCCCCTGTTCTGTCTGCACCTTCTGGAGACCTGGCAGGTCTACCCAAAAGAACAGTTTTTTTTTTTTTGCCCCAGAGAACAGCGCAGAAAGTTGAAGGGCTTTCCGTAGCTTTCATCYTTTGACTTCACTCAGGGACAAACAATGTCCTCAGGGGGGCACAGTAAGCACGTGAATAAAGCTTAGCAGCATTAAAGGACATGCTCAAACTCCAGGGACAATGAGCATTCTTGAAGATGTTCCTTTCTTTCTGTGTGTGCACATTCATGACAAATTTATATGTTTATGACGGGTGTCTGTACACACTTGTTTTTGAGTATCTGTCAGCATCTACAGTTGCGCACTTGATGGAAACATTTCCTTGGGGGGGAAAGTTCTACGTCCAAGTTTGGATTTCACTTTGATGATGTGTTGTGTTTTATGGAGCCTCTGAGGGGTGATGAGGGTGAGAGGCATATGAATCAATGAACCTCAGTAGAGGACTGAAAAGAGAGGATGTTTAACAAGAGCTAGGAACTGGGATGCATAAATGACGATGTAAAAAACAAAATGTGTGTCTGTGTGTGTGTGAGGGGCCRGAGGGAGCAAAATGAGATTAATGAAAAAGTGTAAAGGGCCAAGGAAAGAAGAATAGCAGAAGGAAGTGGTCTCAGCTTGTCAAGCCTGCCTCGAGGGGATCATTTATCACTATCGACAGTGTGTATGCATGGGTGTATTTACAAGGGGTGGGTGTCCATACTCTTTGCCTGTGGGTTTAGGGTATTAAGGAGAAAAAGGACAACATTTTGGGGGTGGGTCTGTATAGTTTGAAAAGATAAAAGTGCACGTGTGAAAGCATAATAATATATTTGTCCACCTTCAATAGATGAAAGACGACATGTCTGTGTCTGAGATGTGGAACTGGACAAAAAGAATGCAAGGAAGATGAACTAAAGATGCGCCTTAGCTGTCTTTCCTCTTTTACTACACTCTGAACAGAGAAATCTTCACAAAACATAAATAAACCAAAGATAAATAAAACAGGGTCACAATAATCGTTACTACATGTTTGTGTTTTTCCTCATCTCACATTTCATGCTTGTCTGAGCTGGTGAAGCTCATTGAAGCTTATTTAGCATGGGAATAAATAATAATGAAGAGCTTCTAAGAGGCTGSAGTAAAGTTGAAAGGGAGAGAATAAAGGGCATATAATTCTTATAATACCCTTCCAGTAATCCAAAGAGTTTGGAGCTAAGACACATAGCCACTAATGCACACAAAAGTGCAGATTTGCATGCACATAGGCAGAAATGCAGCAATTAGGTGATTATCCTGCTGAGCACTGCTCTTCTCATCTTGCAGACGTCTCGATGCCAACCTCTTGCCTGAGGTTCCGGCTGAGGCCTTTAGAGGTGTTCACTCTTTAAGACACCTGTGGTTGGATGACAACTCTCTGACAGAGATCCCAGTGCTGGCCCTGGACTTTTTACCATCCCTGCAGGCAATGACRCTGGCCCTCAACCAAATCACGCACATTCCAGATTACGCATTTACCAACCTCTCCGCCCTTGTCGTACTGTAAGTGACAACTTGATTTGCTTTATTATATCTCTGAAAACACAACGGAAAAGTCACTTATTTCCCCCATCTCATACTGTACCTYAGAACAAAATATTTTGAATGCAGAGCAGAAAGCAGTATCTGTCTGAAAATTATTTGTGGACTTTTTTCCAGGCATCTCCATAACAACCACATACAGAGCATGGGCTCAAGATGTTTTGAAGGTCTTCACAGCCTGGAGACACTGTGAGTACTTCACATGCTTTTGAAAAGCTGTTGAAATTTTTATTTTACGTTTTAATAATGTCCCRTGCTCATAAACTCTGAACACTCATCTTGAAATGGTTTTGTTCCATCACTCTAAATTAGTACATTTTTTTCATTTCCACAATACTGATGCAGGCTTTGTGATGAATAYGTGTCAGCTATGGTATCAACATTCAGTAAGTGCTGCAGAGTTTACAGCAACCACATTGTCTCAAAGTAACCTTCAGATATATGTGGAATAATATCGCCAAGAGGTAACACAACCATTTTTCACATAGTGTTCCTGAGTTCTGCTTTGTTTTCTTGTGTGAGTAATAGTGGTGGGTGTTGCTAGGAAAAATTAAAATGAATGTGTTTTTATAAATCATATGTAATGAGTGTGCCAATTCTTTTTAAGTGTTGCGTTAAATTGTAAAGTCATGATGATTAATGTGCCGGTAATTTCGGCAGGTGCTTGAACATTTCTCAAAACCACAACCAAAAGCTGAACAGAAGGAATGTGAAGATGAAAAGATCCTCTTTGATTACCTTGAAGCATCATCAATGGATTTTTCTGTTTTGTTTAAATAATTGCAAAGCAGTACTAAGGTCAAGAATCTAAGAATAGCATAATGTGACTCCAGAAGAGATGTTTGCATGTGTGTTTGCATGTGTAGATGGGGGGAATAACATTAATAACTATTTACTTTTTTAAATAACTATTTCCTAACCACACACTAGTTTGAAGAAAATGGACAGTCTTATGAAGGAAGAGAAAAAACAAAGAGWGAGAAACTAAAAAAACGTTTGCAAATGTGTCTCCTATAAAATTCATGGTGGTCTGATGAAAACRCAATTTTTGGCACGCTGCTTAACAACCTGTTGAAGTGTAAAAAAATGCGTTGGTTTTTATGAGCATGTGTGTGTGGGCACATACAAGAATGTGTAACAATATATGCAATCACAAGCACACTGCAGCTTTACGCTCAACTTGAAAGACATTATGCATGCTGGGAAATGTGAAAAAAGTCAGGTGTAAGTCAGGGTAGCCATGGYTTAGACAGATGCGGGGGAAACTAGAGAATGTGAAAAAGAGGGATTGAGCTCTTTGGATAAGAATAGAGCTTGCTAAAGTGTTTGGGCCGTCACTCAGATGATTCAGTGGGATAAGATGACAGGTGTCATTGATTTRGAGATTGTGGTGGTATGAAGGGTTAATCTCTCACAGTGGTTTTGCTTATGAGAAATAKGAGACACCATCTGCATTACCACCATCTACCAACCCCTTGCATCATAAAACCATTACTACCAGGAGACCTGCTAAAAAACACAACAGCACAAGCAAACAAGGTGCATATATAAATACGCACACATTTACCAAGAGCTACTAAAAAACAGTTGTCCCACAGCATTTTATCAAATGTATTAGGCTATTTTAACAGCATACTGTAAAGACAAAATTATTAAGGTTAAACTGTTAGATAATCTKGTGAATTGCTAAGAGTCTTTAGACATGTGCACACCTGCTGTGCCATAYGTTTAAGTGAACACATGCTCAAGCATGCACATGCAAGCCAATCTTTTCCCAAGCGCACAAGTGTATCTTGTGTGCATGGGAAATTAAGTTTTCTTTTTCTTTTTCTAGCACTATTTACACCAACCATCCAGAACATTTAAACTAATTAAAGTTGTTTGAAACTCCCTTATTCTACCAAAACTGTTCTAACCCATCAGAGCTTGGATTCAGAGACTTTGGGTGGGTCTATGGTGTGTAACACTCACTGGCATGTTTTCCAGTGGATTGTTTGGATCTTGTGGATTTTGGGGTGTGGCCTCTGTGGATCAAAGTTGTTTCAGTTCATCCTGTGGATGCTTGAATAAACTGGGACCTGGGATGTTCAGAAGTTGATTGTTAGACTCAGTGCTTTTCTTATTGTTAAAGACCTACACATCATTTTAGTCAAAACCTTTATCTCTCCTTTGCATTTGATACCATTTTTACRTTTGTGTATATCTCACTATTTCGGTAATGTATGGCTGTCTTCTAGTTTTAGTCTTATATTTCTGCTAACAAGCAGTTTGCCAACAGTGATAACACTMGTTTACCTGCAGCCCTGGTTGATCAAGGAATACGTCAAGGCTCTGGACTAGGACTGCTCCTCTTTATAATTTTATGCGCTTCTCCTTTGGTCACATGATCTCCACTCATGGTCTCAAATTTCACATATGCTGATGATACAAATATATACATTAGTACCAATACAACCACTACCTCYCCTCGCTCTCCCTGGTCAACTTACTGGGATATCAAAGCCTAGAGTCCACTGTACCTAAATTTAACAGCAGCAAAGTTGAGCTTTTGGTAGTGGCCCTAAATACAAAACTCAAAAAGATTGGAGATAAAGTATCCTTCTGGATACAGATGGGTATGCCATCTACCAATCCTCAGAGTTTTCAGCCTTGGCTTTAATCTCTTCTTGAGTTACACATCAAATCTATCATAATCTCTGCTTTTTTGCAACACAAAAACAGCTTAAGACTTTGGCTATCAATGCCCTGATCTGGCAAAAACTCTTATTCGTGCTTTCATCACCTCCTGTTTGAACTTTGGGATGCCTATTAAAGCTCTCAAAAGCCTTCAGTAAATTCAAAACACTTCTGCCAAGGTTCTTACCAACACCAAAACCCTGGAAGCACATCACTTCAACCCTCATTCAGATTTTCTGTCTTGAACTCATTACAGAATTCTTCTTCTCATCTACACATCTCTGCATTGCTTAGGTCTTCAGTATATATCTGACCTCCTTCCTTTCAAACTATTTTATTGTGACAACAGCCATCATGATATCTTGCTTGGTGTATTTTAATGTATTGCATTTGATGTCATTTTAAATCTTCCTTAGCAAACAGGAAAGTTAAATGATATGCCAAAATACAAGCTAAACAAACTGCACAGCCCATACTGACATCTGATCTGTTTATGTTAAAGAAACAGTCTGAGTGATGAACCATTTTTTAGCGGAATTTTCACTRAAGTGACCTATGTTTAGCCTCAACCCCTAAAGCAAATGGTATTTTTAAAGGATTGGTTTACAAACACATTTAAACACAAATTAGAAGTCTTCTGCAGGATTTKGACTTACATAATTTGTGCATATTCTTTAATTGAGCCTATTTAACTTTCCTCCTTGCAGGGATTTAAACTACAACGATCTGCAAGAGTTCCCTGTGGCCATCAGGACACTGAGCAAACTTCAGGAACTGTGAGTATGCATGCGCACGCACACACACAAAAACACACCTGCCCAACATGACTATCATGGTTGGGTTATCCCAAGTAATCCCGTTAAGTGATTTTAATGTGGCACTCGGATACAATCTCTCTCGCCCCGAGCAGGTGCTGGCTACACACCCACGCAGCCACTTGCCTGCACACACACACAGATGCAGCGCGCACACACACACACAAGCAGTGTTTTTCCTCAGCTTCAGCAGATGTTTCGCAGCATGCATATGTGTTACAGATACAGCGTATGTGAGCATGTTTACGTCTCATGTATCCAAAAATGTTCTTCAGCTGTGCAGTGGCAGGTGCAACATGACATGTGACTTGCCTCTCACTCACAAACACACTTTGTGGCTCCTCCAAACACACTAAATCCAAACCATACCGATTGGGAGTAAAAACTAACAAAAATGTTTTTTTTATATATATATATTTTCAGGGGCTTTCATAACAACAATATCAAAGCCATCCCTGAGAAGGCCTTTGTGGGAAACCCTCAGCTCCAAACCATGTGAGTTTAATGCTTTATTCAGAATGCTACAAAGCGCACATTTAAAATAAACACAACTGAAATTTCATGTAAACACCAAGTTCAACCCCATTTATCTCTGATGCACATTTGATACACATCTCTTTTTCTTGCAGTCATTTCTATGAAAACCCCATCCAGTTTGTTGGAAAATCCGCTTTCCAGTTCTTACCAAAGCTACACACACTGTAAGTATGTGGTCAGTAAAAACCATTCCAGTGAGTTAGCATGAACACTCTTTAAATCACCCTCTGCCCTTTGCTGTGAGAGCTCAGTGGTCATGTGTAATAGTCCACTGAATGATGTTGTGTGAACGTATTGCTGTGCGGCGTGACGATGTGGTAAGAGTGAGCGTGCTGTAAGAACATGCTGAATGGAGTGACTTATGATGTCTGGTGAGACGGCCAAAACAGCCTGTGTTGATGTTGGAGGAATAGTTTGATGGTTGAAATGAGCTGTTAGACAGGGTCTGGGTGTGTGAGTGAAAAAGAGGGGAGCAAAGAGAAAGACAAATGTTTAAAAACTTTTCTTTTTTTTTTCTTTTTTGACTACAGTTCCCTGAATGGGGCAACTCAAATTCAAGAGTTTCCTGATCTGAAAGGAACAACCAGCCTGGAGATTTTGTGAGTGTTAAACACATATTTCATTTGGGGTGGGTTTTATAATTCTAGGAGATGTTGGGAACTAGGAAGGTGGAATTATGCAAGCCAGTGACAGGTTTGTCAAATTAAACCTGCTTGCCTGACCAAGATAGACTTATGGGAATTGGGGGTGGGG